TGATTCCCGAAATTTTCAGTGCCGCCCTCGTATCATTAAATTAATGTCCAGCAGTTGTGTTTGTAGATGGACTAACCTGGCAGAGAGCACAGTGTGCCTACCATGAGTTTACGTTAGGTGAGCTCGCTAGCGAATACGTCAAAAAGTTCTATGAAAATTTTATTTCTTGAAAGTAGCCGCTAGGGGCGCTGCACAATATGTCATACATTTAAATGTCATTTTTTTACGCAGTCGCTAGCGAGCACACCTAACGTAAACTCATGGTAGGCACACAGATCTCACATTAAAGGATTTATTACTTTCGCAGCATTCCATGTTTTAAAAGGTTGATACAAGCTCGTATGCAAATTAGTTTCACCTAACCTACATGTTTTAGGAGCATTTAAATAACGAAGATACAGCGTGGAGATGAGATGCGGGTGAAGGTCTGGAGGGGTGAAAATCACGTATCTGCCAGCACGCCCGGCCTTCCCGTGGGATCCGGGGAAATGGCACACGGATACATATGACGGCTCATAAGAAATTTAAATGGGGAACGCGATTATGTTTGATTTGTTTAGATCGAATTGCTGGATTAGGATACTTTATTGGAGATAGAAACTTTGATTTGTGCAAATGAACGAGGGAGATGAACCTTCTGAAATGTCAAATTATTTCAGGTTCGATTGTGGTATGAAAATTCCGCGATTTAGTGATGGTATTCAGTTACGATTACCCAAGACAAGGTATATTGAGGCCAATTATACTTTTACTTTTAGAATAATCCGTCGGGGTTGTTTCTTGGAATTTTAGGAATTGCATACAACTTCTACCTAATCTAATATTGTTAATATTAGATTAGGTAGAATTTAATTGTTTGTTTCATAAAACGATGGAGATGAGACTTGACAACTGATATTATTCGATAAGCACATGACTGATTAGTAGGTATAAGTAGGTATCAAAGTGGAACCGAGTTGTATATCTTTGTATAGTACCTATTTACTAATCCTTTATCATTTTACTAAAGACAATGATAGTATAGCATTCAAAATATACATATTTAATGATAAATAGTTAATTATCTTGCTGATATAGGATCATTGACTCCAAGCTATCACTGCCTAGTTTTACCTTGGTGTTTGTTCAACAAAGAGTGAAGTAGTCTCCATTCTTTGTATTGAGGCAAATTCATCACGAATTAATACTTTAATGACAGAAAATCCATACTTCGTGATCAATCAATTATTTTCATTTGTTAATCTTTTCTTTTAATCTGAAGTAAGGTTACTTTTAAAGCGTCATATGGGCCTTGTAAAAATTTTAATGGTCAGTTAAAACAAAACTAGGTAGGTAGATACTTACGCAAACACAAGGAAGATGTTTGTTTATTTTTAAATTGTCATGTGTTTTGGATTTACTATTTATCAACTGCCATAAACGATAAGTGGCACTCATAGATAATGTGTTTATACTTAGGTAGTAGCAATAAAAAATGCTTCTACACTTGATAAGTTGATGTTGCTATAGTCATAAAATTTTACAGATACATAATAATTCTTTTATATAAATTTATCTTGCGTAATTACACGGTTTTATTGTGTTTGCCGTATATGTTTGAGTTCTTTAGGACCGAGGCCGCGAGGTGGGTACTAAATAGAACAGAAATAAGAGTCGTGATATTTGTATTTCATCGTCAAAGAGCAAATTCATTTGCGCGTGAAGCTTGGACTGGCACTGTGTTTTTCTAGCGAAATGGATTGATCTAGCGAGGAAAATGATCGGACCGGATAGAACTTTTTTTGAAAATCCACCCTAGATATAATGGACTATGCAAATTCTTTTTAAACCCCTAAAAAGGTATATTCTTTTTCGTACGATTCATCTTTGTTTCTGTTACATTGTCTACCAGCTGGTTAGGATAATGTAGAGCTCGCAAATGTAGTAGTCATACCAACGTCTTTTGAATAATATGTTTGGTTCAATAAAAATCATACAGACAGATCTAATGATTACTCCTAAATCCTAAAAGGACTACAGTATACTGACAGTGAATGCATAATTATAATAAGTAGGGTCTTGTGGGTAGTCTTTAAACTACGGGACCCAAAAAAGGGGCTTTAAGCCTAAATCTGTAATTGATTTCATCTTGTAACAATCTATATCTAAAGGTCACTGATTGACTGACTCACTCGTCATGAAATCTCAGAAACTACAAGTGCTAGGAGTATCAAATTTTGCATGGGGTTTCCTTTTAGAGTGTAGGTGCTCACTAAGACGGGATTTTGCAAAATTCAACTCCTTAGGAGGTCAAACAGGATCCACGCGTAACAAGTCACGGGGGGCCGCTAGTAACTCCTAATTTTATCCCTTAAAGGAACCTACCGGCCTTTCAATCCACTAGTAGAGGTGAAAGTTATACAATATGTACGTTTATTAGAGCAAGTTATGCCGATCTCGGAGTGTACCATCGTTTCGCCTGAAGACATCCACTTGGAACGAGGCCAGGCGAAAAGTTTCGGAGGTAGTTTGTCGGTTGCGACGGCGCCAGGGAACGATTAAATTACACGTATTTGCTCTGCTTGCTCAATTTGGCTAAATACAAAAGGTCCAGTTTGATTTAAAATCAGTTTTTTTATATCCCACGTTAGCGTACATATTTTAGGAGTATCCAACCAATTTCCTTGAGTGTACGGGCTTATAATTAAAAATCCTACGTACAGAAGTTGACAGTTGATTTCATAAATTGATTGTAATATACCTACCTAATCAAAATTTAGGTACGGAAAAGGTCATGGGTAAATTGGTTACCAATTAAAAAGTGAGATACAAACACTACAACGAAGATAAGGAAAAACATAAAGACAAAATAGAAGAAAAGATCAAAGTCAACATTAAGCATAGTTAGGAAAATAAATATACTTTTTATATAAGTAGAAAAATAAATCCAGATGTAAAACAAGCTGTTGAGTTTCTAAATAAATAAGGTAGGTAAGTAACAAAAATTTCAGCACTTCGGCAGTTGTCTTGAAGTCACGGAGGAAACTGTTTCACTTAATTTTACGATGATCACGGAATGGAGAATTATAGTTGTTGTGACTGTTCAATTTAGACATTTAATTGATCATTATAATCATATTAATCCCCAATGCTTTCAAAAGTCTTCTCTCCTCGTAATAAAAAAAAACAATAAACTTTTTTTTTAAAACTTAAAGTTTGCAAGTTTGCGTCTCGCGCGTACAGAACGCTCGTTCAAAGCTATTGTTCAAGCTGTAAAGCTTTCACTCATTAGGGTGGCGCTCGTGCGCAAACGACGCGGGTCCGCGATCCGAATTACGATGGTTATGCTCAGCGAGGTTCCTAGCAGATGCCGATCTTGCCGTTGCCGTGCCGAGTTATTTGTGAAAGCCGGGATGTGTGCACAGCCTAAACAAATAAGACAGTACCCTATTATAAACACTATCAGAAAGACAAAAGAAAAGAACCAAGTGAAAATAGTGCCAGTACCCTGACAATGTAGCAAGTTTTCGCTGTGTTCCCTAAGATGGGAAGCAGAGAAGCGATCACAAAACTGTTTAAAATACTAACAGTTCTCTGCTTCTCTACTTAAGGAGCTACGCGCTACGAGCTGCTACGAGTATTTAACTTTTATAGAATTTTGATTTGAATTTTGATTTTTAACTAACGAATATTTAGGTAGCGTTCAGCTCAACAGTCGTTAGTCATGAAGGGCTTATCCTGGAGACATGTCTTCAGGTTATTAGGAATTCTTTACAATTGTTTTTTGCTATAACACCACCATCTAGCCAGTTCAGTGGGCGAGTGAAATAACCACCCAAATGAACCACTCAAACAAATGCAAAGTCTGATTTGGCTGTACTATCTAGATACTGCATCGTGGACGCGAAGCGCCGCGAATGTCTGCAACTCCGCACGCCGCGAGTGCCCCGCTCCAACCTAAACGTATTTATCTGTGCACCTACAAAATCAACTTCGCGGTATGGAGCCTTCGTGGATGCGAAATCGCTGTAATGTACCGATGAATATTTCAAATACTCGCCAAACTAGCGAATCGCTACGGAACGCGGCACGTGTGTTTGGTAACAATATTTGGAACTTCGAGCCAATTTTGGAAATTCTTCAGCAAAAGAAAACTGTGTCGTAGCGAGAGAGGGAGTCGCGCTGATTATTTGCGAAACATTTATGTACCTTCCTCGTATGTAGGTGTTTGTAGGCTCAGAGCCGCAGACTATGTCTAGGTATCTATATCTGGGATATTTTGTCAACAAAAATGTTTTCAAGATGAAAAATCTTGAATAAGACTGACAAAATGAATGAAAGAAGAGGATTCTATTTCCGGGACAGTTTCAAAAATTCAGTAAAAGTTACAGGGTAAAAGAATTGACAAGGCCATGACCCAAATGCTCCGACCGACACCCTAAAGTTGGAAGTGAAAATTAGACGGGAATAACTCTCAGTTGATCGGAAATGAGACTTGAAAAAACAAGTGATTAAAGACTTGCCAGACCCTCCGGGCCTTTTTGACAATATTCAAATCCTCCTCACAGTTGCGTTAAGGAGGAGTTCTGTCCAAGTAAGATAAAGTGTTATTTTTTAGTCAAATTCCACAACAAGAAGGATTTTAATGTGTAATTTGACTTCAAATGAACTGTAACTATGACTTTCTTTCTTTGGGACTAGAGACATAAACAGATGCTTACATATAAGTTATGTATAAAATCTATTGCAAACCTTTTTATTAATAACATTTAAATATTTTAAAGTCCCAACAACCACCCCTGTATAGTCATACTCGTATGTAGGAATTTGAAAAACATAGCCTAAAAGTTGTTAGTACAAAATACTATACTTAGTTTTTATTAATTTTAATTAAGTATGTACGTATTTTTATTATCTAAAATACCGCGTCATCCATTTGGAATTATATTTTGTTTGTACAAAAATTAATGTCCCTCTTCATCCACAATCAAAACAAATGTTTATCGTCTCGTATAACCCCAGTTTATAGGTACAACTTGATATTATAATTATGCTCAGTGATTAAAACACATTTGAGAACAAATACTTAGCTCAGAAGACGTATTTTGTTGTATAATTTTACATTGCTCTGTAAAAATGTCTATACATTATAATATTTTGTGTTCAGTGCTTGTCATTGCCTTTGTAGTGCTGTGTAATGCTGATTATGCACATGAGTGTATTTACGACGATAGTGGGTTATGTAAGTACCGATAGATTTTTTTACTTAAGATAATAGGTATACCGTATACGCTTGTGACTCTCATCAGGTGTACCTATCTATCTCTTCTTAATAATTATAGTGTCAATAAATTTTTTAATGAATTATGACAACAGAATCTTGCTATAAAATTAGAAAGATATAGGTAAATAATATAAATAAAAAAATTGGTAGTACGAATGGGTTGCATAATTTTAATAAATTGTATGTACTGTGCTTTTATTTGTCTGTCTGTACCTATATCGACAGAAGAAGATGTATAGTCGACATGAGTTTTCTTGGAAGTATTTGAGATTTGTATTTAATACTGCCGTGTTGCCTTGATAGACCTGATATCTAATATACAGACAGGGCCATCTTTTATTAGCATCGGGAACTTGTAATGTGCAGTCTATAAAGTTACCCAAACTACTGTTTTTTACTTGGGTGGTAGAAATAAGGAGAAAAGTTGGTTACTTTTCTATTTATCGTGTAGTTAAGGCCATTAACTAACGAAGCACTGCACACTGGTGGTGCTTTGCATTAAAGTTATGGCAAACTAGTTCACTCACGCACATCGCAAATCTAGTAACAAAATATCAGAAACACTACTCCGAGGGGTAGATTGCGTATGCATAGGATTCAGGGCTGATACACTGCCCAAGGGAAATGCTCCAAAAATAGTTAACGCGATGGATGTTGAATTGCCAGCAACAAATTTTATTGACTTTCAAATGTTGGCTAACTCACTTTGTGTGAATTGTTTCGCATCATTTCATTTGAGTTTAGACACTTTATGAATAAGTTTGCTTTCGCAGTTAAAATGTTTTTTTTTTTTATGTGTTTAAAAATAGTTACACTTCAGTCTGGGTTCGCCGTAATCACAAACATAGACTCATCAATCTATATTTCTAATTAATTAGGCGAAAATGAAATTTTAATCTTACAAATCTGACTCTACGACAACAATCTATTGCAATACGATGGATTGACCATAAGATTCAGTGTAGTGGTTGTCGTGTAGTAGTAAATGTTAAAAGATTATGTACTAACTAATATGTCTTTTATCTATTTTCAGGCATCGAAGATTGCCCTCCAGGCACAATTTCATACACATCAGGGTGCGGAACAGAAGAAACGATGTCCCAGCGCACTTGCCGTCGTCCCATCGCGCGATCCATAGGCTTCATATGCGACCTATCCCGGTGCGACTGTCCCGAGCCCAAGGTGTGGGACGAAACTATTGAGAAATGCGTTTTCTACAAAGATTGCTCTTCGAAAAATTTTTCTGGCAGGAATCGTTTGTAGATTAGCAGCACTGGTTATTAAAGAGTGATTAGAGAATTTTATGTTTCATTATACCTACCTACTTCCAAAAGTATCATAAAATATGTTTCACTTCCTTCAGTGTGGGTTGCGACAATAACTCTTTTGTACCTAGTTAAGTACTAATAAGTAGGCACTTGATAATAGGTTATAACTTGATCGAGATTACCAGAAGCCGATTCAGTGTGAATCTGGGTCAGTATTTCAGACCCTGTTCATATTAAAAAAAAAGGAAATAATTATTATTTCATATTTTTACTAATATATGATTATCCCTAGTAGTTTTCAAGTGTTATTGTTATCACTATATTAGTCAAAATGTTCAAGATAATAGATAATGCTGCTGAACTGAGACCATCTGCGTATGGAAGAGACCGCCTAGCGACGGTATCTTATCTATTATCGCAATCTATCAGTTTTATCGATAACAACTGTCTACAGTATTTTTGTGCACGGGTTATGCATACCTAGCTTATTTTTATTGCTTTAAAAGGTAGAAATAAGAATAACAACAAAAAATTGTTCTAATTTGCTTTTATGCGTATAAAATAGAAAAAATCATATGAATGAATGTATGAAACATGGACATAGAGATGCCAAATATGTTTTTTCTTTCTTTTTTCTTTCTAATTATTAAAAGATACCAAACATCAATTTAAGATTTATTCTTACAAGAGAAGTTTTAAAATAGTCCAAATATTTATAAAAAAATGTAAAGTTCTACTTTCCATAGAAGATTTTTCACATAAAAACCTAACTCTATCATGCCTTCAGTATACTAGCCATGGTAACGTCGTCTCTCAAATCCCACTATATGTATTTTGATGGAAGCGTGCCCCTTGTTCTTGCGAATAAGCCCCCATAATTATCTAAAATGTATCCCAATAAGAATGTGACGTGCATCTTTAGAGACATTCTACTATGAAGATGGAAAATTCAAATAACTATAACTTCTTAAATAGCAAATATTTTCGATTTGTAATCGCACTTTTTTATATAAATTTGCTTAGGTATATAATCAGAATATAATACGTAAAATCCATGCGCAAAATTTTTTTTTGTTGACCGGTATAATAAATAACTTTAATAGCAAACTTGTAATCGTTACATAATTGTAAAAGTTTTTTCTGGACTGCAATGACTGAAATAAACCGTCTTGGATTAAAAAGTTTTCTCTTTCTTTGCGATATTTTTTATTTTCCTTGAATGTGAGAATGGGTTTTGATAGTACCATGTATGGCCAACTAAACAAATAAGTAAGTAATTTGATACTTAAATACTTAGAATAACTTTGTCGGTTGGATTGTGGACAAAGTAATGAAGACAGAAAGATTAAAATTCCTAAATCTAAAACTTGCTTGCCTGTGTGCCATCTAAATCTCTTGGGTATTGCCAAAGAAATTTCTACATTGCTTACTTGCGTTTATATATAATTTTACAAAGATCATATGGATAATATAATCGCGTGTGGTATGATGGAAACCTTGTGAAAGGTCAAGCAGATAAAGCCACAATCCACATGTGACTGACTCACATGGACCCACATGATCTTCGGATCAAGATTAATGCACTTATAGGCTGTGTAAAAATATTCTACTACCATAATATCTATTGCTATCAAATATCAAGGTATTTAATTTTGATAGCATACTGTGGTAGTAGGTGATTATACAGGATGTCGCTTTAAGTTTGAATCAAACAAAAAGCATCGATACTGCTTAAATGCAACCACTTTCATACAGAATCGGTGCAAAAAGAATCCAAATTAGAAAAAAATACATGTTTTTACTAATTGGATACTACTGGATTAATTACTGATGTCCATAGATGGTTTTAAGATGTTAACTTCTTTCTCTTTCAGAAAGTTGATCAATCAATCATTTTGTTTGATCCATATCTACTTAAAAAGATACCATGACGTCATGTAGTTTTTGGTTCTTAGTTGACTTTCAGCACAACACTGGGTGTCCAGTTAAGGACTTTTTTGATGCGAGGGATCACATTATTTTTCTTTTTGTGGGTATTGTACAGGTTCGTACAACTACAGAATCTTTTAATTTAAATATCAGCATGTAACTACACTCGGCATCAAATAAATCGCACCTCCCGCAACAAGCACTTCTCAAACGTATGCATCCCCACTTCCCACCAACATTGGTTCCATTTGAAAGCCTAGTTCTAAACTTCATTTCATTAAAGGAAAGGTTTTTACCCCAAAAATGTGTTTTTAGAAGGATCCAGAGTCACTTCTTCAAAAAATAGGTAGTTACGCTTGAGCCAACTTTTATGCCTATAAAACTGTTAATTGGGATTAATCACTATCCATCTGTTAAAAAGGACACGTAAGATCATTATTTGGTTTTATAACCACAAAAATTGGTCTCATTGATCCCAGAGGTGAGCCCAAAGTGAGGCCTTTTTTCAAGTCACATTTATGGTACCTGTTAATTGTTTAATAAAAAAATGTTGTGATTTTCTCTAAGTTTATTTATTGGGCTTTCAAATAACACCAATATTGTTGGGGCACCATGATTGTGTCAGAAGAAGATCTTTAAAGTTCGCGTCGCGGAAGGTGCGATTTATTTGATGTTGAGTATATAATCTCAACATATTAATAATATCCACTTCCTACCGACTTTCATATCATAACAATCGTTAACAAAGATTGTAAAATATCGCTAACCAAACAGTATCATCTTCATTGACATTTGACCTAAATGATGAACTTAGTTACATCGCTCGGTGCTAGTGCACTAGAATGATAACAATGAGGGTAAATTCAGTGGGCTCACTTCCCTCCGGTGGTAATCAAATGGGCAAGAACAAGCTCTGTCTGCAAAAAACCAGAAGAACCTACTTGTCAGGACAGCAGCGTAGTCATGTTTCAGCAAAGTACTCTCTTGCTCAAAGGGCAGGCAAACAAGATTTGCAAATAGTCATGAAATGTAAGTATCTGCAATGTCGATGCACTAACTGTGATCGTATTCTTAGAGATCGCAATATTTCTTGGTTATTGGAACTACCGCATTCATTTATATTGGAATAACTACGAGTAGAAGTGCTAGAGCGCATCTATATTAGGAGCCCGACTGTTTGTTTGATACACAGTGCACATCAACACTGCATTAGGTGAGTAGGTATACATTGCAAGTTGCAGTAACAGCGTTGACAGATTGACATTAGATAACAAGTGTGAAAGATTTAGGGCTTGTTTGTAATTTCTGCTTGCAGAACTATTTTTAGTAATCGCAAGTTTTACCTTAAATGCTAAAAAGTCTTTTAACTTTCAGGTAACAACAATGGCAACTTTAATTTCATTATTAGCAGTAACGGCAGTATTAGCAACGCCTAGTGCAGCATTAGAGAGCAGTAGCGACCCACAGAGCGACACTTGCGCCAAATTGTCGTCGTGTGCCACTTGCCTCAGTAAAAGTTATTGTTCCTGGTGCGTTACCAAGAGCAAATGTACGAAACAGTCTTGCGGCAACGACAACGTTATCTACCCCAAAAGCGTTAAGGCTTTAATGTCCGGACCCCAATTCTGCCCGAGAATTGTCCGCCCGGAGAAAGAGCTCGCATTCGAGAGCGGAAAAAAGCAAATCTTAAGCGTTAAAATCACACAGATCTATTTATACATGGCTTTTACTACTTGGAAATGCAGAATCAGTTTGAACGACGAAGAAATTGATGTGAACGCAGTGCTGCTTGCTGACGAGGTGTATTGTGACTCTGTAGTACTGAGTAATAAATCAGATAAGCCTGAAGCAGCAGGCAGTGTGACGCTGCTGTGGGAACAGAATAAGGTGCTCGACGGGAGTGTGCCTTTCATAGTGTGTCGGTGTGATATGGATTCTGGTTGTGCAGTTTGTAAATAGGTTAAACAGATTCCTTGTGAATGATGATTAATGTTATTAGAGCACTGGCACAAAATATTATATCAAGACGTACAATGTTAGTATTAGTAATGTAATTTTTATAATATGAAATATTTTCAATTGTAATTAAAATATCTAATCTTATGTAATTATTGTTCAAATTCATTAAGTCAATAATTTATATCGTCTTAGATTAATTTGTGCTAAATATTGTGAAATCCCATTGGCTCATAATACCTTCAACAGTTATTTATTTTTAAATAACTGTTATGTTATATTAAGTTTTATTAAGTAAACACGTGTTATAGTAATAAATATAGCTGCTAACTGTTCTACAAGCTGACCAGTCGTTTTAATTACGCTGAATAATTTTGCAATACTACTTAATTGCAATTGAATATTGCTCGTTACGATTTTCCCCAATATTCATGTTCCCTGTTGACTGTAACATAATTTGATCAATTTAATATTCATCGTGTTTTCCTAGCTAAATGTAAACAATATTAATAAATAGTGTAGAGCGAATTATTTGACTACAAATCCAAATATTCAAACTGTAAAAGGCTTAATAAAATTTGTGTGAGAGATGATCCAGTAAAACTTAATTGAAAGTACCTATGTTTTGACCATGATTCCATTGGAATGATATTTTCAACAGAATGAGTAAAGAATATTTAAGAAAATTTTTAAAAGATGTGTACAATAAATTCAGTAATATATTATTTAAAAAAAGATTAATGCTATCTAGTTTCAGGGTCTAAAACAAAAAATCATACTCTGAAATTCCATGTTTAAATTGGCAATCTGTCTCTTAAGGCCAAACAATTCATAACCTAGGTTATAAAACAAATTGATTTACAATGGAGACTGCAGGAGAGCCATTCGCTTTACGGATAACGATTTCGATAGTCATTTGTTTGTTCCGGCATTCAACTCTTGAAATTCAAATTGATCGTCGGCGCAGTGGAAACACTAGACTAGTGTGGGACGGATTTGCTGGAATAGATTAAACTACTTAGGTGGTTTAATAACGCCGGTAACCAGCTCACGAATCAGCATTTCGACACTGGCAAAATTGGTACTAATCTGTCACCTATATAATTTTTACTAAGTAGTTGGAATCTGAGATATTGTAAGTTATTGCTTATTCGTACTCGTTTGTATCTACATACCTATAAGTTTTGTTTAGTTACAAGTTAATATAACTAATGTGATATTTTTTAGACATTATGTAACATAATGTTAAAAATAGCTAAAAGTAAATGTCAGTACCTGAATTAAAGCCTTATTCGTAGCTATAAAGCAGCAGTCTCGTTCAGCAATGTATTCCATCTATGCATAATGTTTAGATTTTAGGTTCAGTCTAGCTTTTTGTTGGATCTTTTGCCAGCACATGTTGCAGCGGGAGTTATGCAACTCCTGTTAGAGATTTACGACAGCCCCTAAATAAGATTTAGCTTGAAATTCAAATTGCCGGCAGAGTTAATACACCCACTTGTGTGTAAGACAATGGAACCACATTGCAGGTTAAGTTCGCTGAAACTAGCGGAATTGTCTTCCTTTGAATTCAATTTTGGGTGGTGTATGTTATTGTGAACCTGCTCTGGAGAAAATCATGTTATAATTTATCATTGTTAGCTTTGTGTTGTTTATGAGTTGATGTTCAGATAACAGCATAATATTTATCTTGCAAAAATCGCACCGTACAAGAACACGTAAAAAGATTAATATTATACTATAAAACCTACGTAGTTGCGTCCTACATAAAATCCTATAAGAGGTAAGTAAAATTATCACAGCTTCAATTTTGCTAATACCTTCGCTGTACAAAAAAAGTACAAGAAGTAGTAACTTAATTGAAACATCATAATGGTTAAAAGCTTGTATTCATTTCAGTAATTAATAAACGGCTAATCAGAGCGAGTTTTCTCTTTTACTTAAATTTTTCATCGTACTAAAATCTATGTATATCAGCTGATGTTGATATTATTGTTACATGCAAAAGTCGTTTTAGTTTAGGTAAGCCTTAAATGTGAAACGATATTAAACGTATACATAATATCAACGCACAGCCCAAACCACTGGACGGATCGGGCTGAAATTTGGCATGCAGGTAGATGTTATGACGTAGGCATCCGATAAGAAAAGATATTACGAAACTCCACCCCTAAGGGGGTAAAACGGGATCCACGCGTACGAAGTCGCGAGCGGCCGCTAGTTTAGCATAAAGGTTAAATTAAACTAGTTCAAACTAGTTACATACTTGTTAAAAAGCATATTTGATTAATATGTAGGTCAAATTACTCCGATACGTCCAACATGTTCGAGTCCCATAAATTGATTGTCGAGCAGTTCAAAGTGGGACAATGGGAGTCGCGAATTTAGAGGTAGAGTTTGCGAACATGCAGCTACGTGCAGTGTAAGAGCTATTGTGTCCGCACCTTTAGAAATATTCCGTTTCAGTACCACTTATTGTACTAAGCAAAGAAGTTTATAGATTTTAATGACACATTAAAAAACAGACCATTTAATTTATTGTTGAATTACGTTATATGTCTTTACAGTTTGTTAATTTATTAAAGTCAATTTATCTGGTAATCCTTTTACCTATCACTAGACGACATGGATTAAAATTTATCAGATTATAAGCTATAAATAACATTACTGGCTGCTAATTTAATAAGTTGCTTTCTAATCATTTATTTTGTTGTGAAATTAAGGCGAAATTTATCATCATAACATTAATTCGTACAAACGTAATCCTAGATTAAAATTGCTCTTATGAAAACGTTCAGAGAAAATTGCCTTCGGCTTCAACAACATGGATGATTTGTGCGTGAAAAATCTTTGTAAATGTTTGTGAGAAAGAACCCAAGTCAAAAATGAACTTTAATATTACATGTCATAAGTACGTGGCTTTCCGACATAAGCACACGTGAGCCGCGTTCACATAATAGGTATTTAGCGGGGAACATGCACAGGAGAGTTTACTAAATGCGGGATGATTCGTGCTTAGTGGAGCGCGAGTATAAACGAGTGTCAGGAAATATGTCGGTAATGCTCCCGTATTACTTAGCCCGGAGCACACATAAGGGATTCTCGGAATAGCACTCCTAACATACTATTGGGAAATCTTTTTCTTGATACCGGTCTTCGCTTCGAGGCTCGGGAGCCATTACTGTCGCTGTTGAACTTTTGAAATAACTTCCAGTTTTAGTAGCTGAAATGTCACGGATTACACATTCGTGTAGCGTTATTGTCGTAACATTTCTAGTTTCATTCCATCAGGGAACTTTTGTTTGGAAAGGAAAAAATGTTTTTCAGGTTTAAATGAAGTTCTTTCAGGAAAATCTTTTATTGCGGATTCTGTTCGAGCGGATTAAGAAAAGACTGAGCACAGACAACGGCCGCACGCACAAAAGCGTATTTTCTGTATTTTATCGCCAGATACGTAACTGCGAACCACTAATCCAGCTGAGTAAGTTGCTCTTTTCAATTAACAACCGTCTGTGCAATTTTTCTTCTTGCTCTTCCCTGTTGAGGGCAAAAAAGAAAAGAAATGAATTCTTTAGCTCCGACGGCACACGGTTCTAATTATTTAAAAGGTTTAAGAACGAGATTCAATTAATGTATTGCCTTGTGTTCCTAAAAACTAAAATAATAGGTATTCTGATATAACCTGAGGTGGAATTGTGTAAAGCAATCGTAATCTATTGACAGTTCATAATGTACAATAAAGTCAGTTAAACCACAGATAATATAATACTAGTGTTAAACAAAGCGTTTGACAGAATAATCGTACGTTATGAACTGTCAAATGATAACGATTGCTTTACACAATTCCACCTGTTTGGTTTTATGAATTCGATGAAATAATTTTATAGATGTACCTACCTATGTTTTTTTAATGTGGTTGTATTGAATTTTGGCGCTATATTTCGGGTGGTGAGTGAGATACAATCTATTTAATAAAAACATAGCTGAAGCGCTCGCCGTGCTGACTGGTGCAATTAAAATTTTACACGCTCGTGACAAAGAGCGCGGAGTGTTAACATTGGAGCGGCGCGCACTCGCGAATGTTACTATTTTCCCATTAATTTATATGCAGTGAAGTGGATGATGCAAGAACGAAAACCTTAAGCTTTCAGCGACATACTCAAATGAAGTATGATTTAAAAAGCAGTATATTTTATAAAGAAAAGTTTTTTTAAGGGAGTTGAGTTCGTTTCCGAGATTAAAAATAACTTCGTTCAAATTATTCCCAGTTTGGTTAGGACATTGCACTATTGCAGGCTTGAATCAGTCTGATTGTCCGATAAGAAATACGATGCCGTGCTTTGGAAGCTCTAATTAGTCATGCCAGACGCCTTTGGCGGACATAATGACAGACACCAGGGTTGTAACAACTGAGGTCGATAAAAGAACACATAAAGTAAAGCAAAAGACTAAGGCACCATCTTACTTTAACTATAACAAACGTCAAAAGTCTGTCAAACTCCGTACAAAAATACCGGTTATGGTTATAGTTACAGTTAAAGTAAGGTGGTACAACTTATCGTAAATGCACACAAGTACAACACTCAGTTCTACTGAAAGAAGCATTCTGTAGTAATCTAGTTGCATGTCATTTGAATGCAGCGCCTGCCAAATGAGCGAGCTTGTCATCAAACCCAATGTGCTTTGAAATAATATAGAAATAGACACATATTAATTCAAACCTTTGGGAGTCTAACTTAGTTTCCCAGTTCTGTGTAAGTTCGCTTGGCATCTTGCCGCGTATGCTTGCAAAGCAAATTATAATTTATGCAGACTTAGGTTTACGTATTCATTTCGCGAAATAAATAGTCGGAGGGTGACATTATTTTCCATTTACCGTCATGTCCTGGAATAGTTACTTATGTTTAATGACTTTGGTAGAGCTTTCAGACATAAAGAATATGAACATTTTTGAGAAATCGGTATGAATATTATTATGAGAAATTGGGTTCTCGAATGGCTACCACGTCTCGGCAAACATGGTGTAGGATATTTTACGACTCGAAGGAATGGCTTACAGAAGATCCCTAGCAGAAGCTGGTTTTATCCAGCTTAAGAGGCCAATGAGACGAAGAGACACTAATAACACCAGATAACAAATAAATTGCTGTTGATTTTGGTAAAAGTAGTTCTAAAGTTTGTTAGGTAAGTTCCCTTTTGTGATTGAAGTATCTTCCCGATAATTCTTTATTGCGGCGGGATATCCTCGCGCCGCGGCCGGCGCTATCGCGGTAAGTTATGTGAGTCTAATCCGGCCGTTAACTATAATCCGTGTTCGGGAAAAGTGTCGGGCTGATTAATCGCCGGCGCCACCCGCCCGTTAACGCCGTGTCGCC